CCATTGCTAACCAGCCAGGAAAACAATAACAGAAAAGACTTCCATTTCTTTAGAAATAAATGTTGAAGATTGTTCTGATGAACATACAGCACTTGAGGAAGATTTAGAAAACGTATCAAAGCTGGACGACAAAATTTTAGATTTTCATAGATGAACCAAAAGCTCCGTTAAAAAGAAAAAAACGTTCAGCAGTTGCAAGCGCAATCAGTAATTTCTCAAGAAAAGAAAGAAACAGAAGATTCGCAATCAAAAAATCCATTGTTTCTCCTATTACAAAAAAACGGACTCCGTTGCCGAGAACTTGTTAGTCATTCCCAACGCAATGATTTTGTGCCGGAATTGCGCGACATCAACTTAATTGCAAGAATTACTGCGAAGCATCTTCTTAACTCGGCCATTCCGCCAAAACGCAAAATATTGTCATCAACTCTAACAAGGTGGGCGCAGTATTTCAAGTGTCTTTTTCCAAAGACACCGACATCCTGTTTCTATGATTTTAAGTACGAGCCATCTCAACAGAGGGATGGAACTGTAATTCAGAAAAAAAGAGCAGAGGGAACATTACAAGCATGATGTAAGAATACAAGGTGTGCCATTGCGCATAATGGCGGTCTCTTGATGAAATAGCTAATCAAACATTGGGTCCAAATGCACCCGCGAAATACAAACACAAAATTAGTTAAATATAGTAACAATGTAAATAAAATTAGTCAAATAAATAAAATAAAATTAATTTAATTAATTTAATTTAATTAAAGAGAAAAGGAACTTGATATAAAAAAGAGATATACATTTTTATGTTTTTTTATTAGATAATCTGTACAATTTTTTCGATTTTTTTTTTTATGGCATTATTTGCCGCTATTTCTTTATTAATTTTTCTTAATCGTATATACGTTCTCGTACGAACTAGACATGCAATAACTTTTTTAGAGAAAGCGTTAGTTTTCTGACAAACGATATCGGTTAATTTATCAAAGATTTTCGTTTCTTTGCTAAAAAAATTGCCATGAAATTTTTCGAATTCGTCGTTCATTATTTTAGCTGTTTCCTTTTTAGAGAAAGCGTGCACAGGAATACATGCAATTTCCTCTAGATATGATGGAAAGCCAGTCATTGGGTACATAGGAAAGGGTCTTGGTTGGAACACCCAAATCGCTGTTTGTATTTCTGAACCTATGTGCCACATATCCGGCGATGTATATAAGCGCATTAGTCTCAATTATATTGCTAGCTTCAATTTGCTCAAAGTCCTCCAGTAATTTTATTTCTTCTGGAGTAGGCTCGTAGCTATCTAAATTTAACACTAGAAACATAAATTGACACAAATGAATGTTAAAACAGAAACCGGTTATATGTATCACAGTGGTGAATCATTTACTGCTATCAATGGCAGTATATTTTGGTAATCTTACGAGTACCAATGTTTCCAACATGGGATAGTTGTTTACTACTTCTGTAAATATTGATTATCATTATTCATAAAGAATTTGTATTTGCAAATAATGAAAAATGTCAACATTTACAAAAAAAGAACAATAATTATATAAAATATATGTTTAATAATGCAAAGTATAAAATAATTAAAGAAAACCTTTCACATTTCAAGTACCTTCTCTGTTTTCTTCTACTTCTACATTATTATAATCTTGTCCAGTTTTTTCATCTATTTCTTTATTTGCGGAAATTTCTTCTGAGACGTGCATTAACATTTCTTCTTCTTCTGCCATTATTTCATCTTCATCTAACGGAAAATGTGAGCACGGTTGATCGGTATCTAGACAACGTGTATCCTCAATGTCAATCAGAAGTGTAGAGTTATTGTCTTCTTCAATATTTTCCATTGGCGAAATTGCGTATCTTGAATGCTTTCCTAGGATGTACCACTTCAAGCGCTGTCGTAATTCTACAGGTGTCGGATGATCGTATCCTCCACCCATTATCCTTAAATAAGAAAACAAGTTTTCCAGCACATCCTGATTCAATCTGCTTGTTAGTAGATACTCTATTAGGAACGTTTCGGATGAGTATTTTTCTTGAATGTAACGAAACATTTTTTTTAAGGATTTGTTGCATAATAGAATTCCCTTTTGAAATTGCAACAAACTTGACCTCTGACCAACTCTCATTTCTTCAATAAACTGGCTTATATCATCGATAATTTTATTTTGATGTTGTAAATTTATTCCGTACGCGTGCGAACCATTGTGATGATATTTCAATTTGCTGTTTATGACATCAAACCAGTTGTTAAATAATTTAACTACATCAGAAGTCTGTTTCCATTGTTTTGAGACTAACAATCCTTTCTTTTCACACCACTGAATAGCCAATGCATTTTGATTTGAAAAAATTTGTGCTGCCATTTTCACGTTTTGGCGTTGTAATCCCTGTACATCCAGATGTGCTCTACTTAATTTGTGAGCTAATTTTAAATCTCCTGTGTTGAGTGTTAATAATTCTTCAAAACAATTCTTATCGATTAAGTTACCATTAACTCAAAACCCGGAGTCAAACAAATTGTTTCTCGCCAATTTTAATAGATAAGGAACGTCTGCATAAAAAAAATTTTTTAAAGAGTTATCTGCAGAATGGACACTGAAGCATTGCTTTTCGATGACCTCTTTTTTTGAGGAATGACTGGAAATATTAATTCCAATATTCAGTTCGTTCCACAATTTCATATTAGTTGGGCCCATATCACATGTTACTGCCACAACAATGTATGCAGCTTGATATAAATCATGTATTACATTCAGGAGAATATTTGTGGACATTGACTGATCAAATTGATAATACACAGGTTGTTTCCATCTTTTAAATAGTTCTCGAGCCATAATAAATTGGCATGTTTTATGAGGTCCATAAATCTTTTGCTCTTTTTGCTCCAAGTCCAATTTATTTGAGACGTACAATTCGTCAAAAGTTAAGACGGTAAGTTTTTCAACTGTAGAAAGATTGCGGCCTTTGTCTACCATAATTTTTAAGACATCTTTTAGAATACCAGGTGCAACATTAAAGACTCCACACCAATTGTTCAAAGTGGATGTACATGGCATCGGCATCTTTTTAACATTTCTTAAATATCGATAAGCCTTTGAGCTTAAGCTCCTAAGTAAAGCGATGGCAGACATAATATCTTTGCTTGACCATTTTATTCGAGTGACATTCGATGACAGCAACATTTTTATTTGTCCAGGCGTGAACACTTTGTGCAAGGCATTTGCAGCTATTTTTTTAGCTTCTTTTTGCTTGTCTATCGCCGCTTGTGCAATAGCAGAGGACTTTTGCAGCACATTTATTTGTAACTGTTCCACCTGTACATTTAGCAGCTCATTTTTTTGCATGAGTTGCTTATTTTCCTGAGTAAGCTTATTTTTCTCCATTAATATTTTTTCCTTTTCTTTTTCTGCTTTGTTAAATAATTCTAATAATGTTTTTGTGCAGACATCTTGGTGATCGTGTTTCGGCAATTCCACGTGTTTATTTCTTTAAAACACAAAATTGTATTTTAATATTACTATTATATACAATTTAAATATAATAGAGAGTAGGAGATATAAGTAGGGTTCGATTGTGATATTATTTGGAAAGACTATTCTGTTAATATAAGACACACAGAGTCAAAGATAATAGAAAATTTATATACCATTATCTGATATATTTTATTGATATAATTTAAATATATACTGATATAGTTTTAATATAATTTAATAAATTGAAAGTAACGTAAGTATTGAGATACATACATGTTTTGTTCAAGTGGCAATATCTGTTCATCCTCCTTAGCTTTTTCTGTGATTTTTCCTTCAAGATGATTTTTTTGCACAGGTTCGGTGTGCATAGGTATACTTAAAATCGCAGTGTTGGAACTGAGTTCAGGGACATCCTGTATATGACTACTAAATACAAGATAAATAAATATTCATTTATTTTTTAGAAATACAAGATATAAATAACAATTTATAGTTGATTTATAGTGCTAAAATTAAAAAAAATACTTACTCTACTTTCAATTTTTTTGTGTTCATTTGCAGTGTCTTTCATGGATATTTGTTATTTTTCTTTTTTCTCCCAAAATGAGCATTTTAGTAGGGATGGAACCTTTCTTGAGACGTCGTATCTGCTTAACAGCAACATTGCTTAATCGTGGCTTTGTAGATACCATTTCAAAGCAATCAGCATCAAAATGAACATCGCATATCCTTGCTAAAATTATATTTTATAACATATTTATTAATCTAACCAAATAATCTCATACTTTATATAATTATATTCTAAATATTTTTATATAGTTTATTATAAATATTCAACTTACTAGAATCATTTTTTATTTCCTCTTCATTCTTCTGACAGGCGTCAAGCTATTGTTGACGAATGTCTATTTCTTTTGGGAATCTGTGACATTTAATCCCCTTTATCTGATTCTTTTTAAATAAAAAATTGGGCGAGTCTGTGCGACTTGCACAATTTTTTATACAACACTTTGGCATGCTGCAAGTAAAAAAGAATATATAATATATAAATGACAATATCAAACTGAATCAGTTAAATAAATATATATGCAAGATACTTACAAAGTATTTTTCGCTCACTAAACTTTTTATTCACTACACATTTTATTCAAGTAAACGATTTTCTAACCAAAGCATACAGTAAAACACGACTAATAATAATAATGGCAGCCATATTGCTTTTTAGCATTTGGACCCAACTCCTGATTGGTCAAAAGCTTGGACAATTGCGCATCCACGGGAATGGTACACCTTGTATTCTTACATCATGACTACAAGTTCAACTTTTTCAAGAAAGAAGAAAATTAATTAAGGAAGATCGAACTGTTTTGCTGAGGCGTCCAAGTACATCAGAATCTATCGATACTAACAAAAGTTTAAGTTCTTCGAATGTACCTAACAAGACTTCATCACACGTTTTTATTAAAAATACTTGGAGATCTGTCGATCTACAAGAAGAAGGAGCGCGCAGTAAAATCTCAACAACAGGTAACTTCTTTATTATTATTTTTAATATTTGATTTTTATATTTTTATTATTTTTTATTTTTTTATTTGTAATTATTTTTTACTTCTTTTTCAGATAGTGATCCAGAATTACAACACCATTTACATTTTTTGTGCAATCAATTACACAACAAATTAACTTTACAATTAGTTACTTCTTGAGAAGTAACTTTCAATTACAGGTGAAATCTACTTGTCTACCAATCGGAAAATGTTTGGGATTACTTAAATCATTTCCCATTCTTAAAAATTGACGACATTGGAAAAGCTTTTGTAAGTTTTTTTTTTTAATTTTTTATATACTTTATTATAATACTTTTTTCTTTACTTTTTCTTTTTATAATACTTATTTTTCTTTAATTTTGATTTTGTATTAATTTTTTATTTGAAATAATACTTTGTCATCTTTGTAATAACTTTTTCATATTGTATATCATATTTTATTTTAAAATTATCTTTTTATAATATTTTTAACAAATATTTAATTGGCTAACTATTGAATTTTTTTTATTATAAATTGTTGCTTTAATTATTTTTTATTATATTTTACGTGATTTAGAATTATAGTATGTTTATTTGATTTATCGTTATTTCAATGAGAGATAAAGTGCATAATTGGACAATTGTTTTTCGTATGTTTCATATGAGATGTAATATTATAGTCAATTAATAAAAAGTAACTTTTTTATTCGTATTAGATTTGCAAAGATTTCGATCAACTACATATATCCCGACACAGATCCGATTATAAATTCAGGAGAGCAGAAAAACAGTAAATTGGCTGCAATTCTTGATGATCGCAGACTATATATATATATATATATATT